CATGGATCCTTTTTATCTGTTGGCCATGAGGCCTTTTAATTGCGGGCGGAATGTCATTTGTGTAAAACGGTCAAACCCTTTCTTTTACTTTTAAGATGTAAGCCTTCAGGCAATTTATTTGGACATACTCTTGTTGCATTCATTTTATATTCGAATGAGGGAATTATTATTTTTTGTATTCCTTGTAAATATAACAAGCTTCTGTATGCTAGCTCTGAAATTGAATTTATAATAGTGGTTTTGGTAACGGAATTCGAGTACTAAAAAGTGGGGCGTGACATAGTGGTAGTGTTGTGGCGTGGCAGTGGTAAGGTGGTGGTAATGGTGGTCGAGGATAGTGGAGGCGATGGTTGTGTTGGTTGGAAATGGTGGGATGGTGGTGCTTTGGCAATAAACGGGTGATAGTGGTATAAGTGATGGTAGTGGTAAGGCGGTGGCAGTACTTGAGGGGTGGCAAAGAAGGCTTGGTGGTGGGTGGGTGGTAGTGCTTTGGTGGTTTTAGTTGTGGTGGTGATGGTCATAGTGGTACTTTCGTGATGGTTAATATAGTGATTGTAGTTATGGGAGTAATAGCGGTAGTGATAGTGGAGGCTTATCGTTGAAATATTTATGGTGCTATATTTAATCCAAAAGGCATAATATTTCAATGGTAATGTCCTCTAAGTGTACTGAAAGCTGTCAATTTTTTTGACTCTTCAATCAATTGAATTTGCCAAAATCCACTCTTACAATCAAATTTGTTAAAGATTTTTGATCCTTTGGTTAAGTTAATCAAAACATCTTTTCTTAGAATAAAATATCTATCAAATTCTAAATTTTCATTTAGCCGTTTATAGTTGAGTACCATTCGGGCTTTTCTTCTTTTAATTTCAGTATAGTTTCTTACCATAAAAGCTGGATTAGAGTGAGAGCTTCTAGTTTTTTGATTAACTTTTTGCCTAAAGTTCCTGGAGTTGAATATAAAATTTATCTATATCTTGTCTAGTATAGATCATTGGTCTTACTCTAATGATAACATTAGAGTCTTTTAATTTCAAACTACAATAATGTGGATTACATTGCCATAGTTTTAATGGATGTTCACTAAAATTTTCTTCTAAAATTTTATGAATCCAGTGTGATTCATCAATGGTTTTGATAATGGGAGTTAAATCACCACGCGGAACAGGCGCAAACTCTTTATCACAAATGTATTTATGTTGTTCTAATAAGGGAATATGAATTAAGACATTATTTATGCTTAATGAAATGGCTTTTTCTTGTATTTGCATTAGAAGATGTTTATATATAAAATTATTTCCAAGAAGGAAATCTCCATGCATATAAAGAAAATATATAATTTTTGGTATGTTGAACTTGCTATCATTTAACCAAATAGTTATATTTTTAGCCTTGAATTGTATGGAAACATGGTTGCCATCAATTCCAATAACTAAAATTGGATGTTTTATTAATGTCCATTTTTCTTTTGGTATGGCATTCCATTTACATGAGCTAATTGTAGCTCCTGTGTCTATGAGAACACCGAGGCAATAAGATTTATAACCTGCAAAATTAAATGTTCCCAGTACATATGTGTATCTTCTTTTTTCTTGGCTAAGAGAAAAAATAATATCATCATTTTTTGTTTGAAAATGATACATATATGCAGATTTAATATGTTCAATTTGTTTTCTTGTTCTTGGGAAAATAGGAATCTGAACATTGTTTGAAGTAATAGATTATTGATTAGAATTATTACTTGATTCTCCAATGCTTAATTTTGAAAATGATTTGTTAGAAAAAATTTTTTCAAATACAGAAGTTGATCTTTTAATTTTTGGAACTGTATTTTCAATATATAAATTTTTTCTTGATGCTTGCATTTGTAATTGTGCAGAATTTTTTGTTTTAGAAGATTCTCCTTGTCTCACTAGGTCATGGATTAACCATTGTCGAGGGACTTCTATGTCTCTCCAATTCATTAGACGAGGTTGTATTACCGTACCAAATGGTCTAGGTTCAAAGATTTCAACAATTTCATTATCGTTTGTTCTTGTTTTTGTTTCAGGAAATTTGGTTAATTCGTGAATTGTTTTTCAATGAATAGTCAAATCATGAAAATTTGATTTCATTCCCAATCCTTGTGTTTTAATTCTTATTCTAACTGTGTCTTCAAGATTAGGATCATTTATAGAAATATAGAAATTTGGTCTAACATTAAACCAAACTACTCCATTAGCCAAATTAGATTGAATTCCTCCAATGATTACTTTCATTGGGTCGGAAAATCTTTTGTTAAAAATTGCTGTCAAAATAGGAGTATCTATCCCTTGACGAAATAAAGCTGTTATGGTTACTTGAATTAATCCAATATGAATATATTGAATTTCAGAATATTTCTTTTTCCATCTTGTAATCTTTTTCTTATCAAAAAAAGGAATATCAATATTTCATTCTTCTGACCATTTTGCTTGAGTGTTACCACTATATTGTTCAAACACTCTTGCTGAAAAGAAATTGAATTTTGAAAATTTATAAATTTCTGGAACAACAACTTCTTGCATTTTTTCGAATTTTGCTAATTCTTCGTTGGTAAAAGTTTTTTCTTCTTCGATTACATCTCTAAGTCAAATTGCCTGTAATTCTTCTTGAGATATACTATTTGCTTCTTGAGATATTTCTTGACTATTATTAGTAATCATGAAGATTAGTTCTTCATTTGAACTTTCTTCATCACTAGAAATTTCGTATAAGATTTCTTCTTCATCAGAAGTTTCTTTGCCATATATTATTTCAAAATCTTGTTCTTCAAGAACTTTGATCATTTTCTTGACACTTTTTCCTCTTTTTGGGCATTCGGGTGCATAGTGACTTTTTTCGTTACAAATGTAACATTTATAAGTTTTATTTTTTGAAACACTTGTTGGTTTCTTTTTTCGAAAATACTTTTTATTTTTTGAAAAAGTTTTGTTCTTTTTTCAAGATTTCCATTTATATTTTCTGCGTTTTTTGAAAAATCTTTTTCGTTTAGAAAATGTATTATAACCAATTTTTCAATTTTCTTTTAAAATTTTATCACAACATTTTTGACCGTATTGTGAGTTGAAAATTTGATTTTTTATTTATTTTTTTGCCTTTACTTTTAGACACTGATCTGCTTTCAGTCTTAATTGGACTTGAGGTTTTTGGTTCTGGACTAGCTCGGTTTGATCTTAGTTGACAGGAAGGTTTGAAACCATTTTTATAACTTAGCACGATCTAGCCTGACTCAATTCAATATCAACATTTAACTCCAAATGTGATTATTCTAATATTATTTGAGCAACAAAAAGAAAACCCAACCATGCCAACATATAAAATTGTCCTTTATTCTGAATCTTCCCTCTTTTAGTCTTTCTCAACATTTACATCCATTAAAAAAAAAGTACTAAAGCTTGTCCCTGAAAATTTTGCTGCCATCGTCACCACCAATTAGGGATATGCACGGTACGGTTCGAACGATTTGAGAATAAAATTATAAATCAAATAGCGAATGACGAATTGGCGAATAACCAAATCACAATTTTGATGGTTTGGAACGATTTTAATATGCTAGTTGACTGAAAAATATTTTAAACAATAATTAAGCATTTTCATAATATATAAGACAATAATTTTGCATAACATTTTTCATATATATAACTACTAATTTGTAACAAATTTCACATCTTAAATCTCTCTCTTTTTTATTTTGATATTTAATTAGAAGTTAAAAAAAAACAACATATGTATTAACTTTAACGAAACTGTTTCAAAAGCGAATTATAAATTTCAAATTTAATCTGCAATTAACAAATGGATCAATGCAGATTGAGCAGTATTTTATATAGCCCTACTGCCTACAACGTAAATCCCCTACATATATGAAAAATTATTCATTACTCACAATACTGTCGTGACATATATATTTTGTTTTTTTTTAAAGACTATCTACTCTTGAGATAGTACCAAATTTTTAGGTTTGGGTTTATGCAGTTGTCCTCACAAGGATCAACCCAGGATGAGATTGACTTTGAATTCTTGGGAAATTTGAGTGGTGATCCCTTCATCCTTCAGGCTAATGTGTTTAGTCAAGGCAAGGAAAATAGAGAGCAACAGTTCTACCAATAGTTCGACCCCACTGTGGTTCGACCCCACTGCCGATTCCCACAAGTACTCCATTTTTTGGAACCCCAACACATCATATGAGCATCTCAAAACTAGAATTCTACAAACATAGAACCGATCATTGAACCAACCACGGAATGCACATGACAAGGATTCATGCGAACCACCATAGCATTGGATATCCCATTGTTATCATATTATTCTTAAATTTGTTTTGAAACTCATAAATTTCTCTATCCATTTCAGCTTTTCTGTGGGTGGCACACCCATTAGAGAGTTCAAGAATGCAGAGACAATTGGAGTTCCATACCCAAAGAACCAACCCATGAGGATATACTCCAGTCTATGGAATGCTGACGACTGGGCAACAAGGGGAGCACTTGTCAAGGCTGACTGGACACAGGCTCCCTTCACCGCTTCTTACAGAAACGAAACTTCAATGCTGATGCTTGCATTTGGTCTTCTGGATCACTGTCTTGTGGTTCAAATTCTCCATCTTCAACCGCTGGCCCTGCCAATTCATGGCTCTCACAAGAGTTGGACTCTGCGAACCAAGAGAGGCTAAGATGGGTGCAGAAGAATTACATGAATTACACGATTTACAATTACTGCAATGACACCAAGAGATTTCCCCAGGGCCTTCCATTGGAATCCAGTATGTCCTAGAGAAAGTAGTGAAATATAATCCAGTATCACTGTCAATATCCACAATTTTCACAGGCCCACAAACATTGTTTTTGTGATATTCTTGTGTAACTGGTCACACAATTCAATTCTTTTATTCTTTATCCTAGTTTTAACCCAATCACCTCTAAACTGTGCGCATGGGATGTTCACCCTATAGCTGTAGGATACAAAAGTTAACAAAAGAATAAAGGAAAAAAAAGAACAAATAGAATTTCCCTTACTATCTACTTTCAAGAAGTCATTTCAGATCTCAGTTGTGTAATCTTCATTCATATATATCATAAAAGCAAGTAATTTCAGATCTCTACCTCTGCTTCAGAGGAACAAATTCACATGCCTGGTTGAACTGCAAGTACAACCAAAATAAGCAGCCACGTTAATTTTTACGCCTTCCTCTCAGTGAAAGTTCAGCTTCAACATGCTTGATTTCATCTTTCAACTCTTGCAAAGTGGCTCTTCTTGATTGCTGTGTGCTTTCAGTTGTGCTATCTCTAATCAGACTTGCAAGTCGCTTCAAACACGAGAGGTACTCTACTTTTAAATCAGGAGAACTATGCATCGACTGCCCAATTCCAAACTGCACAGAAATAAAAAGGTCACGGTCACATACGTTTATAAACCGTCATACATCAACTTAGTTCTCTAATAATTGAAAAGTCTTCTGATGAGAAAAAAGGGAATAATAATGTTCCAATGGAATAAAACACAATACTGACTCATCCTATACAATTCTAATTACTGGATAATGGGCCAGCACACTTTGCTAAGTTACTTATTGGGTAAATTACACTGCTCTCTCATAAGGTTTGGGTTTATTAGAACAAGTCCCACTAGTTTCATGAAATTATATTGACCTTCACTGACATAGTTAGTTCACCAACAGACCTAACAGAAATGTTGAATTTGTAATTGCCCTCTCATAAAACAATCATTTTACACCAAAAAATGACTTTACCTAATTTCCCTCTTCTCTCTTCTCTGCCCATCTTCTTCCTCTTTTTTTTCTATCATATTCTCTCTTCTCCATTGTTCTCTTCCCCTCTCCCCCTACCATCGCACGTCACCCCCTCTTTACCCCCTCCAACACCACACACCACCAATCCCATCAAAGCATCACTACATGTCACTAACAAGCCACCACCGCCACATCTGGTACTGCCACCACCACTCATGACCACTGCATCCAACACCACTGCACGGTCATCACCAAACCTTCAGTGTCTTTGTCTCTCTTCCTTTTTTCTTTTTTTCTCATTTCTTCTCCTTCATCTCCAACCAAAGACCTCCTACTTGCCATCTCATAACTTCCCTCCAGCCAGTGACTACACCCCAGCCACCACCAGCCTCTCTTAATTCAGTTATCACCCTCACAGTCACAACCATCACTACCTCAATTTGGTCTCTCTTTCCTCTATGCAGGCCACCACAATTTCAGCATTAGTCACCATCTTCTCTCTATTTTTTTCAATCTAAACACACCATTTTCCATTCCCGTCAATATCATCACCAAGACTGAATCACCACCTTTTACATTCAACACGAGTCACCATGGTTGAACCAACCCCCTTAGTCGCCGTTTGGCTTTGGCTTTTTTAGTTGGCTTTTTTGATTTGGGACTTTTTAAGCTTGGCACTAAAAAGTTTGTTTGGTTTGGCTTTTTTGGTTTTTTCGACTTTTGTGAGAGAAAAAGTGAAATGGTTATAGTTTGGATGTGACATTTTGTCTTATTGGCTAATTTAGCCTATTTTGTCTTTTGTACCTTTTTAGCCCAACTAAGTTAGCCAAACTAAGGCTTAGTCCTTTCTCTCTACAAATCAAACCCAAAAGATGGGCTAATATCTTCACAACCACATCCACCATTTGACGTAACTGACCAATCTCCTTTCATGCCCAAAGGACAATTCCCAGCTACAAACTAACAAAACCAAACCTATCATCACATTGTTGCGATCATCAGCTTGGTCATGAGCAAGTTAAAATGGAAAAGAGGGAGATAGTCTCATGCAGACATAAACAGCTCGGAGAGGGAGAGAAAGAAGTCTCTGATTGCAACTTTTCAATGAAATTCCACATAGCCCATAGATAAAATCGATCACTTTTACATACACTGTATAACACTTCGATCGAGGCATGGGATGTGTTGTGACTATGGCTAAAGGATTTTTCAGATTCAATACTTACACTGTTTAGCGAGAGAGAGAGAGAGAGAGGTAACGCAAATGATGAATGGTGGAGTGGCTAATGTGTTTATGGTGGCGGTCACCAGAAAACATGGTTGTGAAGCACAGTGGTGATCGTCGGAAATCATGGTTGCAGGATGTCGTAAAGGGTATGGGACTCTGGCATATGAGGTTGTGTTTTGGACGGAGCTATTATATGTTTTAGAGTAGGGGCGACGATAGGTGTTGAATGGTATCCAATCGAATACCTTAACTTTGTCTCTCTTTGTATATATGTAGGTAACATATATGTTAACCAATCAACTCCTCAGAATTTGAACACCCGCTCACATATTTTGAATAACCATTCACAATGTCATAACGTGTAAAAGAAAAGAAACAGCAGAGAGAAAAATAAATAAATAACAAAATAAAATTTGACAAAATTGCAGAAAACTATGAATTCCATTATGTGCTGTCATTCACTGCTTTCCAAACATTTTTAACAGAACATGTAATTTGAAATTGATTTCAGATGATAATATTTCATGAATCTAATTGTGTGTACCTCCTTAAAAGCAGAAATGCACTGGTGAAGAGCACTCTCAGCCTCTACAGTAGGTGAATGCTCACCCTGTTTTATAAGAAAAGCATAAAAATAATTTAGCCAATCAGAACGTTTTAGAACCTTTATATTACTAAGAGGACTAATCAATAAAGAAGTCCCAAAAGTTGACACAAGTGTGCGCATCAATGACTATTAAACACTAAGGCCTTGTTTGGTTTGTGTTTCCCAAAAATTTTTGGAAAAAAATCTCTACAAATAAGTTTTCAAAAGTAATCAAACCAAACAAATTTTCCCAAAAAAATTTCCTAAAACTTTTTTGGTCAACAAGTTTTCCAAACAAATCTCTCTCTCATACACATCAAATCAATCACTTTTTTCAAAACCCTCTCTCAAAATAATTTTCCAAAACATCTTTTGAAAAAAACTAAACCAAACTACTTTTCGTACTTTTTATCTCTAAAACTCATCTCCCAAACTCAAACCAAACATATCCTAAATATTTTCTCCCAAAATTAATGGTCCAAAAGCCAATAATATATTTTTTATTCAAGAATTCAAATAAGGTGATGATGTGGTTCAATTTGGTGCTTAAAAGATGGAACCACCTAGGAGAACTAGCCAAACTTATTGACAAAGAACATTTGGAAGGTGAATGGGAGGGGAAAACAGTTAGATTATATCCCACATGGCTGTTGATCTAAGGAAAGTTAAGTTCATGTTGCTTTTTTGACATTTGTTAGCATTTGGTGATGACTCCTTCCATTGTAATTTATCCTAGTCACAAAATTCTTAAAAACATATTTGTGCCCAAATGTGCCATCAATAAGAAAGAAAGGTTCTATTTTTATTCTGCCTAAAGCTCAAAATGGTGAGCTAAAAAATTCTCAGAGACCAAGAAAATTCAAATCTATTTTTATATCTCAACTCAACTCAACAAAGACTTCGTTCAGTTTGTTATACGGATCCATTTCCTCCAATTGGCTCATTAGAAGTCAATTTTTCCATGAGACATATCATATATATATATATATGAACAATTAAGAATATAGTCTCAGAAAAAAGAAATAATAAAAAAGTTAGAAAATCACATTAAAATCCATGGCTCTAGGCAAAGTTGTTTTTACATATGCAGCATGCAAGAAGAGAACCTGAAGCAACAGTTTCCGTGTCTCACAAGAACAACAAAAAGAATCATGAGGCAATTAACACTGACCCTTGATTCCAGTAATTCCTGCTTTGTGATCTCCAATAGCCCAAGAGCATTGAGTGATTGCAACTGCAGGCACGTTTATAAACAATCAGTCTCATTAAAATATGTCTGGTCCACCATAAATTATTGTCATGCATCCAAATCCACATATAATTGGCACCCAATATCCTTTTTCCCATTGTAGATAAGTACCAGATTGCTTTCCACTGCACCTTTTTACGTTTTGATAGACAATATGCATTTAACCATAGGTTTTTTTATTATATATATTTTATGACAAGTATAACCAGTTGCATATAAGGTTTTCCAGCATCTAACCACATTAGATACTGAAAAGAAACCCAGGAAAAGGTTCGAGTTTTTGACCCAGATGCAACTGATTTTTGGCCTCATTTTTTTTATTTATGTATGCATGGACAGTCTGGATTGTTATTACTGTAGCTCTATGCACCCATCAAGATAATAGTTCCGTAACCCTCTAGTTAAGATGATGGCTGTATAGGACAAGAGATTCAACATGCAGTCTAGGAACAATACATTGGACATGTTCTAATCTTATTGGACATCATTTGTTTAGAGTAGTAAAACGAACCAAGCTACTCGAGCTCAACTCGTGTTCAACTCATTAAAAGCTCAATCAATATCTGTTCGTTATGTAAACAAGCCACAGTTGAACACATTTTGAAACTTACTTTTTGAGCTCAACTCGGCTTGAAAGATAAACAAATCAAGTTTGAGCACATTTTGGAAGCTCGTTTTTAAACCAAGCTTGAACAACCTTCTACTCGACTGGTTTACAGTTCTTTGTGTTTACATTGGACATCTGGCCGTGTCTATGAATACACAGTACACCCATCAGACAAGCAAAGAAACCATCTGGGCTCTTGGTTAGACCTCCCTCTTGGACCCCTTTAGCTCTCTCTTACTCTCTAGACACATTACAGAGACAGGGAGGATCCATCTATCTCTCCTCTCCTTCCATCTCCTCCTCCACTGACCACATTCTCCTTTGTCCTTGCAACAGATTGTGTATAACCCAGAAACACTATGGCCTTGTTTGGTTTGGCTTTGGGAAAAAGATTTTGGAGAAAATTTTTGAAAATTTTGTTTGGTTTGTAATTTTTCTCAAAAAATTTCTAAAATCACTTTCCTCTCCTACACATCAATCAATCACTTTTTCTCTCTCTCTTCTCTCATTTTCAATCAATTTTTCTCTCACATACATCTACTCAATTATAATAAAATATCAAATCATCCCAAACTTCCAAACTCCAAAACTATTTTCAAAATATACAACCAAACAAACTACAAAAATTTCTAAACTCTCTTCCCAAAATATTTTTTGAAAACTTATCTCCCAAAGTCAAACCAAACAAGGCCTATGTAATCCAATAATGCCTCTAGTATGGTACAATGAGATGGTAGCTGTCTTCTTTAATCTTCCCTCTAGGTGATTATTCCTTTTTACAATGTGAACTGAATCAGCATATTTGCATCAATGAATAAAGTGAATTTCTTTATTTCTTTCTACTTCTTTTTTTTTTTTGTGTGTGTGTTTGTGTGTTTGAAGGCATGGCATACCCCAGTTTCCATGTTATTCCCATAATAGTTTATGTGTTCATTGCGTAGGCAATGTCCATGCTAGATTTTTGAGTTTTTACGTCAAAAAATAACGGTGAAGCCACAAATATTGGATTGAATGTTGTGAGATTCTAAAATTGATTTTGCTGTCCACCAGGTATGAGACGTTGTTTATTCAACATATTTTATCCCGTTCTTGAATGACGTTAGGACTTCATTCTGTAAGCCCAAAACATCCATAGGATTGCATCTCAGGCATACCAAATTCCCGAGTCTTGCCATGTAGAGTCTGATAATGGCCCCGTTTGGTAGAGCTGTGGGAAAGTGATTATAACTTATAGCCTAATAGCTTATAGCTGTGAACATAAGCCGATTTTTTACTTATAAATTAAGCTTCTTCTCCCCCACTCAAAGAATAAGTTGATTTTTGAATTACAAAAAGTTATAAGCTGTATTGTTAAGCTGAACCAAACACATCAAAATAGCTTAAATTAAGCTAAAAGCTAAAATAAGCTGGAAATAAGCCCTACCAAACAGGGCTAATCCCACAAATGGGACACTAAGTGAAACTAATACCGTAATCTAAAACATGATTCAAGTACCAAAAGAATCAATATCTGGCTAAGCTGATTTCAATTTCTGTGAGATAAACTATAAAACTCTTTTAAACAACACCCTTAATGTTACTGGTAAGAATCAAGAGGACAGCACTCTCAAGCACCAAGACAAGCCTAGACGTAGTTAATCAATGAAAACAAAAATATTTTTTGGCTGTAACTGAAAACATAAATGCTTCAATTTTTCATGTCAGCTGAAACCAACGATATTGGCAATGAAGTAAACAAAGATGGGGGAAAAAAATCCAAACGCAAATTAAATTTAATTTTAACAATGGATTTGTTCACAAATAAAGGGAAACTGACCAGTATCATCAATGCTGTATTCTCATCCTTTCTAGTTTCTCTAGATGCTCCATAATATTGCTGCTTGTCTCCTTGTTTCTCTGATTTATCCAAAACCCGCTGAGCTATCCTATCATGTAAAGAAACTGCATATGATTAATCCATAAGACTTAATACTTGTGTAAAGATGGGAAGTAACAGAATGTGCAAGTCAAAATAGTTTATCCAGATCCCAACTTGGTCAAAAAACTTATTTTGGCAAGTCAAGTTTTATTGAAACACAAAGAAAACATATACAAACAAAACTGAGGCATGCACCAGGCTGTCAAGAACCCAACTCTAATGGCAGATGCCAAGCAGCTTATCAGACAATCTCCACCCTAACAATAACATTCTATTAATTTGATTATCAATTATACTTTTCCAAGAACTCACTCTATACTATTTCAGAGGAGGATGGTCGGATGCTAGAAAGCCCGTTCTCAGAGGAGTTGTTGGGTGTTTTGAGGAGTATGCCTAGGGATAAGGCACCAAGTCCTGATGGTTTTTCTATTGCCTTTTTCCAACAATGTTAGAGGGTGGTGAAGGTGGACATATTTCAGCAGTTTTACCAGACGGGGCAATTTGAGAAGAGCCTTAATGTGACTTTTATAGTTTTGATCCCTAAGAAAAAAAAAGCCGAGGATATTCGGAATTTTCAGACGATTAGTCTGTTGGGCAATGTTTATAAGCTTTTGGCCGAAGTGTTGGCAAATAGGCTTCGGGGTGTGCTGGAGGGGGTGGTGTCAGGGTCTCAGAATGCTTTTGTAGGGGGGCATCAGATTTTGGATGTTGTGCTAGTGGCAAATGAGTGTGTGGACTCGCAGATTCCACAGGGAAATGAGGGCATTATTTGTAAATTGGATATTGAGAAGGCCTATGACAATGTGAATTGGAAGTTTTTGCTCTATGTGTTAGAAAGGATAGGTTTTGGGAAGAAATGGAAGAGATGGGTGCAGTTCTATATTTCCACTGTACGGATGTCGATCTTTGTCAATCAGTCGCCGGCGTGCTTCTTTCCTACATAGAGGGGTTTGAGGCAGGGAGATCCTTTATCTCCATTACTGTATACTGTGGTAATGGAGGCCTTGAGTTGGATGTAGGTCCAGAGCTGTTCAAGGGGGGTCTGATGTCAAGGTTTGAGGTGGGTAAGTCCTGCTACTTTGGTGGTTTCTCACGTTTTTTATGCTGATGATGTTCTTATTTTTTGTGATGCGGATGCAGATCAAATTGGTCATTTACGATATGTGTTGTTGTGTTTTGAGGCGGTGTCTGAGCTTCGAGTTAATCTGGCGAAGTTAGAACTGATTCTAGTGGGAGAGGTGGTTTAAGTTTTGGTGTTGGATGCCTATTTTGGGCTGTAAAGTGGCTAGATTGCCGGTTTCTTACTTAGGGCTTCATTTGGGGGCTACTTTTAAGGAGAAGGGGTGTGGGATGGGGTGGTGGATTGAATGTAGTGACGTTTGGCAGGGCGAAAGCGGCAATATTTATCCAAAGGAGGGCTAATCACGTTGACTAAGAGTGTTCTTTCTAATATGCCGACGTACTTTATGTCGGTACATGTGATTCCGGTGGCAGTTGCTAAGTAGTAAGAAAAGTTGCAACGAGACTTTTTGTGGAGTGGTGGGAGGGAGGGTTTTCATTATCATTTGGTAGCTTGGGAATCTATATGTAGACCTAAGAAGGGAGGGGGTTTGGCAGTTCGAAGGTTGGTTGAGTTTAATTAGGCTCTTTTAGGGAAGGGGTTGTGGCGTTTTGTGGAGGAGAGGAGAGATTGTGGAGGAAGGTGGTGGTGGTGGTGGTGGTGGTGGTGGTGGTGGTTAAGTATGGGTTGGATAGGGGTGGTGCTTGGACAAGGTAGGCCATTCTCATGGTCGGGGTTTGTGGAAGAGGATTTGGTTGGGGTCGAAGGAGTTTCGGGGTTGGGCTCGGCTTAAGGTGGGGGTGGGGGATAGGGTTCGTTTTTGGCTTGACAAGTGGTGTGGTGGGGTGTCTTTGACTAATATGTTTCCTTTGATTTTTGCCATTGCCGTTGATAGGGAGTATAAACAAGGACAGTCGGTGGTTTGGAATGTTTATCGTGGTCGTGATGTTCACGATTGGAAGTTGGATCAGTTGGTGGATCTTTTGGGGTTTTTGTATGGGGTGACGTATGAAAGGGTTGGGGTGGATTCTTTAGTGTGGTATTATCCGAGATCCAAAGGGGTTTTTTCAGTGTCTTCGTTTTATAATGCACTAGTAGGAGGTGTTGATGTTGTCTTTCCTTGGAGGTGTATCTGGGGCGTTGGATCACATTCTGAGGTTGCTTTTTTCATTTGGACAACAACTTCGGGTCGCATTTTGACTATTGATAATCTCATTCATTGGCGGCATATTTTGGTTAATTGGTACTGTATGTGTTATGGGGATGCGGAGAAGGTGGATCACTTGCTTGTACATTGTCCGGTTGCATATCGATTATAGAGCTTTATTGTTGCTTTGTTTGGTATTGTGTGGGTGAAACCAGGGCCTGTGTTGGGTGTTCTTTAAAGTTGGGGAGGGGCCAGGGTTGGGAAGAGGCATTGGAAGGCTTGGTCTCTTGCTACCCATTGTTTGCTTTGGTTGATTTGGTTGGAGCGCAACAAGCGTGTTTTTCAGGATGTGTCATTTAGTTTCTTGGTTAGAGAATAGGCTTTTGTTGGTATTGCACAGTTGGGTTATGGGTTCGATTGATCCTGATATTTTGGTTTTTGTAGATTTTGTGAAGGATTTGCTTAGTTAGTTTTGGAGGCGCTTTTGTGGGTTGTTTCTTTTTGTATTTGTCGCATCACCTTGATGCTTTTCTAATATAGTTTGCTTATTCATCCAAAAAAAAAAAAACTCTATACCTGAAGTTGGTAACCGATTATTCTAATATCTCCTTTTGCTCTCTATTCTTGTGAGAAAATATCCTTAAATTCCTCTCCTTCCATATATAATAAACTGCAGCAGTAAGAGAGATCTTGTACAGGAGATGGTCAAAATGCTTCCTGCCTTTGTACTGAACAGCTCATCTGACCTCTTGTTGGATACCCATTGGAGATCTGTTGATACAGTGCATAGTCAAAATTTGCGATCAAATCCCCCCAGTGAAAGAACATTCAAAAAATAGACGCTCATGAGTCTCCACACAATGGCCACACATCACACAACTAGTGATTTGTGTCAAACCCCATTTATGCGCTCTATCAAGAGTGGATAATCTTCCCATAGCACACGACCAAAAAATAAATGACCATCTAGGGACATTACTAGCAAACCAAGCAATATTACACCAAGAGACTGTTGGCCTTTGGATTCTGATGGTGTTCCAAGCTGAGGCAACAGTAAATTGGCCATTGCAATACTCTATCCCTCCTTTGAGGCCAAAGCCATACAACATTCTGCACCATCTCAGCAACTTTAACTTGTAGATTCCATACCAAATTTTACCCAATAGCAGCACCAAATTTGTGATACAAAGGCCCTTCAGGATGCCAGTTGTCTAACCACAAAAAAGTGGATTTCCCGTTCCTTAATACTTTATAAATAAGAGGTAAGACAATTCTCCTTAGTCCAAAGATTTTCCTAACAGACCATGACATATCACCAGAGAGCTGCATATGCCACAGACATTTCCTTACAATTATGCACTTGTGAACCCACTTAACTCGAAGTATATCAGCCTTCTTACTCAAAGCCCAGAGATATTTCATGACAGCAGTTTTATTCCATTGAATTAAAGACTTCAGCCCCAAACCATCTTTCTACTTTAGGACAACAAATCCGTGCTCAACTAACTTTAGCTGTATTCTGACTTAATTCAATACCTGACCATAGAAAATTCCGCATAAGCCTTTCAATATCTTTCATATTTTCTTAGGCAAAATGAACAGTGTGGCCCAATACACCTGGATTCCAAACAAAACAGATTGTATTAATTGCAGCCTCTCTCCATAAGACAGAAACTTAAAAAAGAACGTCCCAAGAAAATCCAAGCTGAAGATTACTGCCACAACAAGTACATCTTTAATTCATCAAAGTACATTAAACTTGGGAGTTTAATTTAGGCATCATGGCTATTAATACTGGAGGGGAAAATATTCAACAAATAATACCATATTCTCACATAGAAATCATGGCTATTAATACTGCCACTTCTGGTACTATCGTCAACCACACTCCCACCCCTATACCATATTCTCACAATTATCACAGTAAAGTCGCATGGAATTAGTATGATTAATCCCCAGATCACTTAGTAGCAACTTGATCCATAAGAGTACATACACCTTGTGCCATGGCTCTAAACTCGACCTCTTCACTAGACTGACTACATTCTGTTTCTTGCTCGTCCAAGTAACCAAATTACCTCCAACAAAGGGTACAATAACCAGATGTGGACCTTTTATCAGTTACTGATCCTACTTAATCTGCATCTGTATAAGCTTTCACCCAAAGATGATCATGTTCGGAAAAATAAAGACCCTTTCCTGGAGAAGATTTCAAGCACCTACGGATGCGTATAATTGCAGCCAAGTGTCTTATGAGGAGCATGCATGAACTGGCTAACCACACTAATTGCCATGGCAATGTCAGAACGAGAATGGGATAAGTAAATGAGCTTACTCACTAGTCTGTAATAACTCCCCCTGTCAACAATAGCTCCCTCACTATCATCACTAAGCTTCTGGTTTGGCTCCAGTCGTGCATCACAAGCTTTACTCCCAAGCATCCCAGTTTCTTTCAATGGGTCAAGAATATATTTCCTCTGACAAATGAAAATTCCATCCTGGGACCGAGCAACCTCAATACCTAGAAAATATTTCAGATTTCCCAAGTCTTTTATTTCAAACTCGCTTGCCAAATATTTCTTCAATCGGGATATTTCCTCACTATCATCTCCTGTAAGCACTATGTCATCCACATAAACAACAAGCGCTGCAGTCTTACTATGTAAGGAATGTTTCACAAACAAAGTGTGATCAGCCTAACTTTATTTGAAGCCATATCGGAGAGTAGCCTGAGTGAATCTCTCAAACCAAGTCCTTGGAGATTATTTGAGACCATATAATGACTTCCGAAGCCTGCATA